ACTACATACAATAAACTAAATGGAGTTAATCTTTAAAAAATTGTGGATCAGCTATGTTGTACACCTGAAATGTATATAATATTGTCAATCAACTATACCTCAATTTTTAAAAGAGAACAAAATCCTGCCGTTAGAGAACATGGATGGACCTGCAGGGTATTATGTTTAGTGAAGAAAGTCAGACAGAAAAAGAGAAATACTATCTGTTTTCACTTATGTGTGGAATCTAAAAATCAAAACGAACGAACAAATATAACAAAACAGAATCAGACTCACAGATACAGAGAACAAACTAGTGGTTGCCTGAGGGAAGAAGAGGGGTGGCGGGGAGCAAAATAGGTGAAAGGGATTAAGAAATACCAATGACCAGTTATAAAATAAGTAAGTCACAGGGATATAACGTACAGCACAGGGAATATGGTCAATACTTGATAATACTTTGTTATGGTGTGTAATCTATAAAAATATCGAATCACTGTGTAATACACCTGTAACTAATATAATATTGTAAGTCAACCATACGTCAACTTTTAAAAATTGTTAGGTGTCCAAGGAACTTGGAAATACACACATACAGGGAAAAGATGATACAGTATAAGGAAATCCATAAATTAAAAAAAATCATAAAATTGGCATTTTCAATAAAAAAAATTTACTATCATAAAGATGGTTGAGCATTCAAGATAAAATATAATGTTTGGGAATTTTCTTAAACGTAGGAAAGAAGAAATAAGAAATTCTATGAAAATCATATCCAATATGAAAAAAGAAAATAATTCAATGTACCAAGGTAATAGCAGATTAGATATTGAAGAATAAATTTCTGGTAAACTTAACAATGTCGCCATAGGTGGGTTGAGTCAGAGATTACGTTTCAAGCCCGGCCATTGTTAAATGATCTGAAGAGACAGCTCTAGTCCGAAAATCTTCCAGGAAGCCCAATTCCTCCCTCAGCTGGGCCCCCCACACTGACTTTTTTAAGGTAAGAAGAGCTCGTGTGAGTCACCTGTCCGTCCCGTGGTCAACTTGTACACGCCATTAGTTGGGCCGCCATCAAAACATCCTGTGTGCTTTTCAGGTTTGCTGGGTCACCGCCTTCTGTTCAGCAGAAGCAGTACTGTGCTGCCCACCATCACCAGCCTGGCGTGTCTTGGTGGGTCCTGGAAGGGAAGGCAGGCAGGGAACTCTCTGGTGGACACACTGGGCTGGAACACTGAGTCCTCCACAGCAGAGAGCCCTGCTTCCATGGGGGCCAGATAGACCTTGACGGCTGAGTTCATCTTCAGCTGAGCACAGTCTTAGCCAACGAGGCTCCCAGGCCAGGTGGAAGCAGCAGTGGGGGGCCAGGTCTTACAGGAGATGGACTGTCCATCATAAGTCTTTCTTTCCAGGGTTCTTCTTGAGCCAGAGGATCTGGGCACAAGGGGGTGAGTCTTTTCCCCAAACCTTGGGTTGCCATCCACCTCAAGTAAGACCTTCCTGTAATAGGAGGGGATATAGCACAGAAGGTAGGGTGACGGGTTGACGGAGGGACGTCGTAACAACATGAGGGTGAGGCTCTTGGGAAGTAGAAAGTGGGGGCCCAGGAAAGTCTAGCCCCCAATTCTGGTCCAGAAACCCTTCCTAGACACTCTTCTTCCCTCTGCTGAGCCAGGCTCTAGGGCACCAATAGAAGATTGTGATGCTCAGACCTGGCGTGTGTGGGAGGAATCGGTGTTACCTCTAGAGTGAGGGAAGGAAGCAGTGCCAGAAGCAACAGCCCCTCAGAGGACAAGGCAATAACTCAAGTCCTCCAGCAGTTCCATGAGAGCAGGCACTGCAGGTACTACTGCTGCTGTCCTGCTTCCAGAAGAGGGGGAGAACCGTATACCGCGCCCCTGAGACTCCAGGAGGTTGTGTTGTAGGCTCCCCCGTGTCACGTGTTTCTCGTGTGAGCTGACATCATTTCACTCAACGCAGGTTACTCTTCTATTCATTGTCTACACTGTCTTGTCTTATGCAACTAATTTTACATTATCAACATCTAGTCAGAGTCCGCGAGTCAGCACTTGCTCAAAGTTCTCAGCAGATGTTTTTCTTGTAGGAGATGCCATGTCTCTGTGGCGTAGGAATCTCCATGGGGCATGGGTTCCCCTGGTTTGGAAAGGAGCCTTAGAGACGTGGGAAGGAGGAGGAACCTCTGAGCACAGGGAGGGGAAGGGGCTCCCCATTTTCCTCTCTAAGCTGTGCCTCCTTCTCCCCCAGGTGGTCAGGACAAACCCTCCCTGTCAGCCTGGCCAAACCCTATGGTTCCTCAAGGACAGCATGTGACTCTTCCGTAGGCTCCCATCTCGGCTTTGACAGGTTCAGCCTGTACAAGGATGATGGAGCCCATGTCCCTGGGCTCCCAGGCATAATATTTCAGAACAGCTTCCTCATGGGCCCTGTGACCTCAGCACACGCAGGGACCTACAGATGTCACGGTGATTACAGTCACTTCCCCTCTGTGTGGTCAGCACCCAGCGAGCCCCTGGAGATCGTGGTCACAGGTCAGAGAGCTCTTGTCCAGAATGGCTACCCGTTGAGCCAGTCTTCCTAATCCCAAAGTTTCCTGGTGGAAGTGTCAGTCAGGGTCCAGTCAGAACAAGGAAGTGCTCCAAGTGTTTTAGATAAAAGAGTATTTAATGCAGGAACTTGGGTACTATAGTGGGCAGAATAATTGTACCCCATGATGCCCACATCCTAATACTCCAAATCTATGAATGTGTTATGTTACGTTCCAAGGGAGACGAAATTGGATATGGAACTAATGTTGGTAAGTAGTTGACCCTGAGATGGGGAGACTATCCTGGGTTATCCAGGTGGGCTCAGTGCCATCACAAGGGTCCATATGAGAGAAAGAAGGAGGCAGGAGCGTGAGCATCAGAGTAACAGCGCCTAAGAAAGACGCCACCCACCAGCGCTGGCTTCGAAGAGAGAGGACAGGGTCATGAAACCAGGAATTCCAGCTGCCTCTCCAAGCTGGAAAAGGCACGGGAACTGGTTCTCCCCTAGAGCTCCAGAAGGGAACACAGTCCTGCTGACACCTCGATCTTAACCCAGTGAAACCTGTGTCAGACTTCTGACTCCAAAACTACAAAATCATAGATTTGTGTTCTTTCCAGCCACCACGTTTGTGGCAATTTCCTACAGCAGCAACAGGGAACCAATACAGGTATCCAGGTGACGGCTAAGTTAGGAAACCAAACAGGGGAAGTGAGGCTACCCAGCAATAGGTAAGGGCAGGATGCTGGTGCCACCACTAGGCTGGAGTGACATAAGGAGGGGGCAGTGTTCATAGCGCCGGTCTCAGGGGTGCCCCACGGAAGCAGGGACCATGGAGAAGGCACGGACATGGCAGGAGATGAGCCCCTGCCCTGCCCCCCGTCCACAGGCACAGGCTGGAGGGACACTGAGAGGTGCTGTAGTCCCTGCCTTACTGCTTAATTTTTACCTCCTACCAGGGGTTCTGATGTGTCAAAAAGAACATGAACCTGGAGGCTTCCCTGGTGGTGCAGTGGTTAGGAATCCGCCTGCCAATGCAGGGGACGCGGGTTCGAGCCCTAGTCCGGGAAGATCCCACATGCCGCGGAGCGACTACGCCCGTGAGCCACAACTACGGAAGCCGCGCACCTAGAGCCCGTGCTCGGCAACCAGAGAAGCCACTGCACTAAGAAGCCCGCGCACCGCAATGAAGAGTAGTCCCCGCTCGCCGCAACTGGAGAAAGCCCGTGCGCAGCAACAGAGACCCAATACAGCCAAAAATCAATAAATAAAATAAATAAATTTATTTAAAAAAAGATAAATAGGGCTTCCCTGGTGGCGCAGTGGTTGAAAGTCTGCCTGCCGATGCAGGGGACACGGGTTCGTGCCCCGGTCCGGGAAGATCCCACAAGCCGCGGAGCGGCTAGGCCCGTGAGCCATGGCCGCTGAGCCTGCACGTCCGGAGCCTGTGCTCCACAACGGGAGAGGCCACAGCAGTGAGGGCCCGCGTACCGAAAAAAAAAAAAAAAAAAAAAAGATAAATAATTTCCAAGGCTCCAATGTATAGCATGGTGAGTATAATTAACGATACTGTATTCTGTACTTAAAAGTTGCTGAGAGAGTAGATCTAACCACGTACACAAAAAAAGAAATGGCAATTGTGTGAGGTGGTAGAGGCGTTAGCTAATGCCACAACGGACCTCGTTTTGCAGCACCGAAGTGTATCAAATCAACATCTTGTGCACCTAAACTTACACACTGTTATGTCAATTATATCTCCATAAAGTTGAAAAAAAGAGTGACGCCTTGCAATGGAAATGAGACAGCCAGGAGGAAGTCTGATGTGAAATATCTGACTTCTCATACTTGAAGAACTAGTAAGAGCCAGGTATCTGTGACCAAATTTATCTGTCTGTCTGTCCATCTGTCTATCTACCTACCTACCTACTTATCTACCTATCTATCTAATCTATATTCTCTATCAATCCATCATCTATCTACAGATTACAGGTTTAAATATAGATACAGATACAGGAAGTTCTTTCTTTAGAGATGGTGAATACCTCCTGAAAAAAATTCCCCTGCATGCTGGCATTGAGGTAATCCAAAGCGTAAGAGTACACTGCCTGCCTGACTGAGCCCAAACTTGGTCCATGAATTCCGGGGAGGACATGTGCATCCGTAAGAGCCAAGGCCACTTGGCTTTTGACTGATGGGTCAATGGAGAAATACCTCTGTCTGTATGGTACCCATCTAATATCCTGTCCCAAGCTCTTCCATTTAGATGTGGGATGTCGTCCAAAGAAGGATTTGAGCCCCATTAGACACTGGTTAAGGAAAACACTCACTTCTCATCTGAAACATAAACAGGGAGATTGATCTCCTCTTAGACGCCACCCAAGAGCTCCCCAGAATGAAGTTCTTTGGAAAGGAACCATTCCTGTGGAGTAATAGATGTAGAAATTCTCTGATGAGGAACTCTGCTGTCATATTTCCTGTGGATCTTACTGTCTCATGAGAACCTGTCATCTGCTGATGTGCACCAACAAGTGGCTAACGGGGCTGAGGCTGGCTGTGTCGGAACCATGACCCCCAGAGACACCACCCTCTTCTGCCTCGGTGAGTCCTCAAATGCAAGTGGGTTAGAGGGAAAGATGGGGGGATCCCCAAATAGTCAAGGTCTCTCTCAACATAAGAACTCAGTGATTTTAGGAACTGCAGAGAAGATTCTTAACTCCTTAGTGGAGAGAGACGGTCTTTGCCCAGGTATCTGTAACTGCATCTGCCCAAGTCCCAACTCCATGCTAGCCTGTAAGGCTCCATGATCAAGTGGTCAAGTTGACCTTGTGGGGTTCATTCAACCCATGCCATGCTGTCTGGAGACCCATGATGGTTCCAGAGTTCCTACAGATGAGAGCCTCAGGGCTGGAATCTGGAAGATAAAACTAAAAGATGTCTTGTTTACTATGTTTGCTGTAGAAGAAAGAAAGGTCACCTGTGGGACTTCCCTGGCAGTCCAGTGGTTAAGAATCCACGCTTCCACTGCAGGGGGTGTGGGTTCGATCCCTGGTCAGGGAAATGAGATCCCACATGCCCTGTGGTGTGGCCAAAAAATAAAATCATTTTAAAAAATGACACCTGTATGTCATTATGTTGGGTGATTTATAATAAAGACTGGAAATGTGCAGATTGAGTTTTCATGAATGTCTCTCTTCCAGTGCTCTGTCTTGGCCAGAAGATTCAGGCACAGGATGGTAAGTGTTCCCCTACGTCTCCTCCAGTCGCCCTATATCCTCATGGCAGCTCCAGGATAGAAGAGCAGGAGACATGGTCTAAAGCCCAGATGAATTCCAATTTTATCCTTTGTTCTAGCTGTCTCTGCTGTGCTCCCCTTGCGTAACTTCCACCTCACTTTGGTCTCTTGGGATCCCTCAAACGCATTGTGCTCAGACCTGGATTTGGCCTTTGCCTCTGTTAGGCTGACTGTCCCTCAGAGGTGGGCATCTTACTGAATGTTCACGACTGCAGGGATGAGAAAGTCGGGAACCATCTTCCGTTGTCCAACAGCCTCCCTATATCAAATGTACCTGCTTTCACAACCTAACTCTCCCCACTGCTATCCACTTTGCTTCATTTAAAGGGACACCGCCTTAGAGAACTTTGCGCAAGTAGCTTCAACTCTCAGAACCAATTTCTTTATCTATAAAAGAGAAATAAAAATAATAATGGAATCTATTGGATCATTGTGAGGCTTAATCGAGATAAACCATGTAAATAAAGTAAGTTACGTATTTGGTAAGTGTGTTACCTGTGATGATGAGGATGAAGGGGATCATGGGGGATAAAAAAGGTATTTGGACTCTATGTGAAGGCCCAAGTCTCCACTTTCCTTGATTCATTACTTTTTTTTTTTTTTTTTTTGGCTGTGCTGGGTCTTTGTTGCTGTGCGCGGGCTTTCTCTAGTTGTGGTGAGCGGGGGCTACTCTTCATCGCGGTGTGAGGGCTTCTCATTGCCGTGGCTTCTCTCGTTGTGCAGCACAGGCTCTAGGCGCCTGGGCTTCAGTAGTTGTGGTACGTGAGCTCAGTAGTTGTGGCTCACGAGCTCTAGAGCACAGGCTCAGTAGTTGTGGCGCACGGGCTTAGTTGCTCCGCGGCATGTGGGATCTTCCCTGACCAGGGCTCAAACCCATGTCCCCTGCATTGGCAGGCGGACTCTTAACCACTGAGCCACCAGGGAAGTCCTGATTCATTACTTTTTTTTTTTTTTTTTTTTTTGCCGCACACAGGCCTCTCACTGTTGTGGCCTCTCCCGTTGCGGAGCACAGGCTCCGGACACGCAGGCCCAGCGGCCATGGCTCACAGGCCCAGCCGCTCCACAGCATGTGGGATCTTCCCAGACCGGGGCACAAACCCGTGTCCCCCGCATTGGCAGGCGGACCCCCAACCACTGCGCCACCAGGGAAGCCCCTGATTCATTACTTTTTAATGCTAATTAATGATACAACATAAGGTTTTCTGAGAAGACGTACTTACTTTATTTACTCTCCTATCTTCCACAATGAGTAAGCCAAGTTCTATCTACAATGGATGCTTAAATTATAAATAGAAATGTGACTTTGGGCTAAAAAATAAAATAAAAAATAAAGGGACACTGCCTTAGTCGCACCCTCCTGTAGAACCTGCATGTTCTTCTGTAGTGCAGTACTGAATTGCTACTGTATGTTCTGTCACCCCAACTACCTTCGTCCTCCTAAGGGGTGAAACCGCTTGCCCATCCATGTCTCCTTTCTTCCAGTTCCTTCTAAAGACTGTAGCCTGGATTATTTGTGTCTTTAAAATACGAATATATTTACCTCCCTCTTAAAGGTTCTCAGTAGTCAATCTTCAGATAAACCTACCCACTTCCCCAGGTCTCTCAAGCTCTGCCCACCCGGCTGGTGACTCCCCGTCCAGCTCACCTTCCACTCTCCCTCTGACTCTCTCTGCTTTTCACCCGTGCTGACCTTACTTTAGCTTCTCCTTCACTCCTTGCACCTTATTAACTCGGGGATGTCCTCCATTGTCCTTCTATCTAACTGCAAGGCTCCAAACGTTCCTAGCCACGTTGCCTAGGCAATTTTTTTTTTTAAGGCTGCACTGGGTCTTAGTTGCAGCATTCTGACTTCTTAGTTGTGGCATGTGGGCTTCTTAGTTGCAGCATGCATACAGGATCTAGTTCCCCGACCAGGGATCAAACCTGGGCCCCCTACATTGGGAGCGTGGAGTCTTACCTACTGCGCCACCAGGGAAGTCCCTGCCTAGGCAGTTCTTACGCATCCTCACATAGCAGCTGAACGCTCGAGTTTGTTATCAGATCTCCAAGGTCTACACCTTCAGAACTGCTGACCACACAGCATGACCTACAGCTGCATCCTTGTGTATTTTTTAAATTAATATCTGACTTTTTTCTATATCATCATTCTTACAGGTAGGGGTCTGTTTAGGTCAGCATTTCTCAACCTCGGTACTATTGACATTTGAGACTGGATAATCCTTTGTTTTAGGGGCAGTCCTGTGAAGTATAGGGTATTAAGCAGCATCTCGTCCTCTACCCGCTACATGCCAATAGTATCTTCCACCACAACTGTGACAGCCAAAGATGTCTCCAGATATTGACAGACTGTCCCCTGGCAGGGACAACTGTCTGTCTCCTGTTGAGCGCCACTGGTTTAAGCCATGATAGTAGATAAACAATGTGCTGAGTTAATGGAGGCATCTCTCTGTGTATCTCGGAATAACAAATACATGGGAGGTACTGGTGAGTGAACGATACTGAACATAAGGAAGTCCTGCAGGGTTCGTCTTGCTTCACAACAATCCTGCTGAGGACGGCAAACTCCTTTGTTTCCCCCTTCACAGAGCTGCAGTTGAGCACATCACTATCAGGTCTAAAATAGACGATACACCTTGACAAAGGGAACCAGCAGATTCTGAGTATCCCTCCCCCTGTTTGCTAGTCTGTATAGGGGTTAAAGCCAAGGACAGCAGTCTTCAACATGCAAAATCCCTCGCTTAACGCCACTCCGTGTGAATGCACTGGTGCCAAGAAGCTAACCCGCACCTTCGGGGACCCCGAAACATTTCCAAATCCCGTTCCATCCTAAATCGCACTCCCAGAGCAGGAGGTTCCAAGTCCCAGCCTTTCCGCCCTCTCTCACAGAACTAATCATCATATCCGTCAGACGCTTGTTGGCTGTCCCCCACATTGCATTCTCTAGCTGCTGCAGGAGAAACAGCTCTCCCCCACCTGCAGAGGAGCTGGAGGGAGAGAGTCCTAGTTTGCAGACCAGGCTGCACCACTCTTCAGTTTGTGGTCTTGAGCAATGGGCACGGTTTCCCCAAGCTTCAGCACCCTTACGTTAGAGTGAAGAGCAGAACTGCATTCTCATAAGGATCACCATGGCAACAAAACACCAAACAAACTGCCGGCCAGACCAGCGGTTGCTAGGGGCTGCAGAGAGGGTAGGATTAACGTGGATGGGGTCTCCTCTGCGGGGCGATGAAAATGGAAGTAGACGGAGGTGATGACTGCACGACACTGAATGTACTGAATGCCACCGAATGGCATACGTTAAAAATGGTTAACTTTACGTTATGTAAATTTCACCTGAATAAAAAATACATATAACAAGGAAGGAATTCAGTTCCTCAAAAAGTCCTTCAGTTCTTAAAAGCTAAATGTCCAATCCAGTAATTCCACTTGCATATATATAACAAAAGAAATTGAAAGCAGAGATTCTAACAAGATATTTATACACCCACGTTCATAGCAACATTATTCACAATAGCCAGAAGGTGGAAACAACCCAAATAGCCATCGACATGAATGTATAAGTAAAACGTGGTCTATACAAACAGTGGAATATTATTCAGCCATAAAAAGGAGAGATATGCTGACATGGGCTACAACATGGATGGGTCCTGATGACATCACACGAAGCCAAATATGCCAGACACGGAAAGACAAATATTGTGTTATTCCACTGACGCAAGGTACGCAGGATAGGGAAATTCATAGAGACAGAAAGTCAGTTAGAAGTGACCAGGGCCTAAGGAAAGAGAGAGTGGAGAGTTACTGCTTAATGGTTACAGGGCTTTTGTTTGAAATCATGAAAAAGTCCTGAAAATAGATGGTCGTGATGTTGCACAATATGGTGAGTGTAATTAATGCCACTGAGCTGTGCACTTAACATTGGTTTACTGCTGCTTCCCACTAGCTAGCTATTTTACATTGGGTAGTGTGTGTCGACGCTACTCTCACTTCGCCCCAGCTTCCCCCTCCCTTGCCAAAAAAATGGTTTAAATAGTAAATTTTGTGTTTATGTAACACATTTTATTTCACCACAATTAGAAAATACTAAAAACAAGTATTTTAAAGGCAGGAAATATAAGTCCATCACACCTTAATTTATTTGTTCCCCCCATAGTAAAAGAAAGAAGTATGGTTTCTCCATGGCAGGGCACCTGAGTCTGGGCTCTATTTTCTTCTAGGGAATCTTCCCATTCCTACCATATCTGCCATGCCCGGTTCTGTGATTCCCTGGAATGAGTCTGTGAAGATCCTGTGTGGGGGAACTCCTGAGTCTTTCCTGTACCAACTGGAGATCCTGGGAAACTCCACATACAAAGTGGTGGAGAAGATATTGGGATTTCAGAAGACAGCTGAGTTTGTCATTAAACGCATGGATACTAATACTGCAGGACGTTATCAGTGCCGATACAGAAAACAGTACAGCTGGTCAGTGCATAGTGAAGCCCTGGAGCTGGTAGTGACAGGTGAGGCCTGTCTCTGACCCTCAGCTCTTTTTCCTTGCTTATCTTTTCAGAGATGCTATTTTTAGAACAGTTTCAGATTTCCAGGGAAACGGAGGAGATACAACAGAGTTCCCACACACCCAGCACCCAGGTGCGCACATTTTCCTTTACTATGATACACCCCTTACCATTAATGAACCAATACTGATACATTATAACGAGCCAACGTTCATTGAGACTTCCTTCGTGGTCACCCAACATCCTTCATCTCTTCTGGGATCCCATCCCACACTGCATTTAGGCGTCGTGTCTCTTTAGTTCCCTCTTGGCTGTGGAAGTTGCTCAGACTTTCCTCGTCTTTGATGACGTCGACAGTTTTGAGGGGTGCTGCTCTGGCGTTTTGCAGGACGCCCCACTATTGGAAGTTGTCTAATGTTTTACTCATGATAAGACAGGGGCTATGGATCATGGCGAAGACGACCACCAAGGCCCAGTGCCATTTTTTTTTTTTTTTTTGCTCTACGTGGGCCTCTCACTGTTGTGGCCTCTCCCATTGCCGAGCACAGGCTCCGGACGCGCAGGCTCAGCGGCCACGGCTCACGGGCCCAGCCGCTCCGCGGCATGTGGGATCTTCCCGGACCGGGGCACGAACCCGCGTCCCGTCCATCGGCAGGCGGACTCTCAACTGCTGCGCCACCAGGGAAGCCCCAGCGCCATTTTTAATCACATCATAGCAAGGGTACGTACTATACCAATGAATACGGCTGTTGACGCTGAGCTCGCATACCCGGCTGAGACGGTGTTTGTCAGGTTTTTCCACTGTAACATGTCTCTTCCTCCCACCCTCCCTTTCCATGTGGAAGGAAATCACTATATGCAGCTCATACCTAAGGAGTGAGGAGTTATGCTCCTGCGGTATGCGTCCAGCCCTCAGTTTGAAGCACTGTCCTCAGGGTGGCCTAACCCCGTGTTTCTAGAAGGTTGCACCCTGAGTTTCCAGGTTCTTCTACCTTTTCTTCTTATACAAAGAATAAAAAGAATATCCTTCAGCCCCTGCCATAACTCCTCAGACTCTCTGGATACCATTCCCTCTCTTCCCCAACATATGGCTTGTGATACTGTGACTTATACTAAGAAACATATATTTGGTCTTCATCCTCGTTCCTGGCACAGAGCTCCCCAAACCCTTGGGATTCCCTAAGCGATGAGCAATAACGGTGTCTTCATTTTCATAGGAAATCCCTGTCAACCACACCTGAGTTTATGTTCATGAGGTGACTTTTGGAAAGCACCTAAGGATGGGGGTTGGTTGCCAGGGGTCATGGGACAGTTGGAACTTTCAGCCCCCCCTCACCTGACCTCCAGAGAGGGCAGAGAGGCTGGAGGTTCAATCAATCACCAATGGCCAAAGACTTAAAGAGTCTTGCCTACGTAACGAAGCCCTATGCACCTCTTCCATCTGGCTGTTCCTGATACATGCTTTCATAATAAACCAGAAATCCAGTAAGTAAACTGGTTTCCTGAGTTCTGTAAGCCACCCTAGCAAATAAATTGAACCCAAGAACTGGGTCTTGGGAACTTCTGATTTATAGCCATTGAGTCAGAAGCACAGGTGACAACCTAGACTTTTGATTGGCGTCTGAAGTGGGGGCGGTCTTGTAGGACTGAGCTCTTAACCTGGAGCCCTAAACCTGGGGGATCTGACGTTATTGCCAGGGAGACAGTGTCAGAATTGAGTTGACTTGGGCTTCCCTGGTGGCGCAGTGGTTGGGAGTCCGCCTGCTGATGCAGGGGATGCGGGTTCGTGCCCCGGTCCGGGAAGATCCCACATGCCGCGGAGCGGCTGGTCCCCGTGAGCCACGGCCGCTGAGCCTGCGCGTCCGGAGCCTGTGCTCCGCAACGGGAGAGGCCACGACAGTGAGAGGCCCGCGTACAGCAAAAAATAAAGAAAGAAAGAATTGAGTTGACTTGTGAGATGCCCAGCTGGGGTCTCATAATTGCTCGGCGGTGTGGGGAGAAACCCACACGCTGCAGTTGGGAACAGAACCGCGTGGTGCTTCTGGCTTTAGAGACTAGATCGCTGTCTCTCGAAGCTGGCATCTCATCTGCCTGCTTGATCAGCTCTATCTACAGTAACTGGGGACAGAGTATAGGTCCTGTAGTAGTGAGATGGGATGTTACCGCCTCCCATTCCATTGCAGCAGGAAATGTCAGCTTCTTCGCTTCTCTTAGCATGGATCCAACATGAGTGGCGGGGATCCAGGGGGATGACACAAAATCTTGCTAACAGCTCACTCTCTGCTCTTTTAGGCTTGTATGACAAACCCTCCCTCTCCACTAATGGGCGCCTTGTGGTGATGCCAGGGGAGAGTGTTTCCCTCCGGTGCAGTTCAGCACACATCTCATTCGACAGATTTTCACTGAGCAAGGAGAGAAGGGCCGTTCTGTCACAGCACCAAAACGGGGGACGCTGGGGTGACTTCATTCTGGGTCCTGTGAACCTCAGCTTCTCAGGGATCTACACATGCTACAGTTGGTACAGTGGCAGCCCTTATGTATGGTCAGCCCCCAGTGATGCCCTGCAGCTTGTGGTCACAGGTAAGTGCACCCCCGCCCACACGTGTGTCCTCTTCCTCAGGGCTCTGGCTGACTGTTCAGGGCCTTGGCATCACGCAGGAATACAAAGAGATGCACTAAGAAAGAACAGTGGGGCAGGAGAGAGTCATTACTCAGAGGACCACGAAGAGAGAAGAAGCACTTCTCTATCCATTCTTCTGTTGAGGGACATTGAGGCTGCTTCCATGTCGTGGCTATTGTGAAAGCACTGCAATGAACACTGGGGTGCATGGATCCTTTCGGACCGTGTCTTTCTCCAGATGTATGTCCAGGAGTGGGATTGAAGGATCATACGGTAGCTGTATTTTCAGTTTTTTAAGGAACCTCCATACTGTTCTCCACAGTGGCTGTACCAATTTACATTCCCACCAACAGTGTAGGAGGGTTCCCTTCTCTCCACATCCTCTCCAGCAGAAGACGTGGTATATATATACAATGGAATATTACTCAGTAATAAAAGGAATGAAATAATGCTATCTGCAGCAACATGGACGGACCTAGAGATTGTCATACTGAGTGAAGTAAGTCAGACAGAGAAAGATAAATATCGTGTGATATCGCTTATATGCGGAATCTTTTCTTTAAAAAAATGACACAAATGAACTTATTCACGAAACAGAAACAGACTGACAGACTTAGAGAACAAACTTATGGTTACCAGGGGGGAAGTGGGGGGGATAGTTAGGGAGTTTGGGATTGACAGGTACACACTGCTATATTTAAAATGAATAACCAACAAGGCCCTACTGTACAGCACAGAGAACTCTGCTCAATACTATGTAACAACCTAAGTGGGAAAAGAATTTGAAAAAGAATAGATACATGTATAACTGAAATCACTCTGCTGTACACCTGAAACTATCACATTATTAATCGACTGTACTCCAATATAAAATAAATATTTTAAAAAATGAGAGAGAGAGAAGAAGCACTTCTCACCCACACCACATTTGACTTTCACATCCTCTCCTTGAGTTCTCCAGTTTCCTTTGAAAACACGTGGCCTGTTGAGAAAGGAGAGACGTTTGGAGTCACATTAAGGGGTGTTGTTGAGATAGCAGATGCCAGACACAAGCTTTGACGAATCCACTTCCTTTTTCACACGCTTAGTTGCAGCTGAGAATCCTGAAACTAACCTATAATACTAGAATCCACTCGGAGTGGGTGACTGAGGAAGACTCTAAAAAAACTCTATCGAGGGACTTCCCTGGTGGTCCAGTGGTTAAGACTCGGTGCTTCCACTGCAGAGAGCACAGGTTCCATCCCTAGTCGGGAAACCAGATTCCAGATGCCGTGCTGTGCAGCCAAAAAAAAAAAAAAACCCTCTATCAAGAGCTTCATTTTTGGGAATTCACTAGTGGTCCAACGGTTAAGACTCGGGGCTTTCACTGCCGTGGGCCCGGATTCAATCCCTGGCTGGGTAACTAAGATCCCGCAAGCCAGGCGGCGTGGTCAAAAAAAAAAAAAAAAAAGTTTCATTTTTATGTTGTTTGCACGCATCACTGCCCAGAGGGAGAAAACAAAGAGTTACAGCAGAGGAAAGCAACTGCTGACTGCTGAGTGGGAATGACCACACTTGTCTCTCTTATGTACCTTGTCCAGTCATTCTACAAGCTCAGCAAATATGATAGTCATGGCACTGTAAGATCATACAGACAGAATGGTCTTTTCAATGAATGTTGCAGGGACAATTGGGCAATAGTGGAAGAGGGGTGAATTTATTAGCCTTTTCCTTTAGAGTAGATAATCAATGAATCCTGTTTTAGAAATCACCTCCTATCCAATGTCAAGGTGGTATTATCTTCTCAAACTTGAAACATTTTGCACTTTGCAATTAGGAATTCCAAATCCACTTGGAACTGATTTCTGTATTTTAACAGGAGAGAGTTACTAGGATTTCTCAGCATTGTAATTTCACACTATTTTATTACATCCTTGAGAGGAATAGAGGCCCATGAAGTCCATAAAACAAATGGAGAAATCTTTTTAAAGGTTCAGTGAACAGAAATGTCTGGTGAAAGGTCACACAATAGTGGAGATAAATTTTCCCTAAGTTTTTGCGTTCTGTTTTTTTGTTTTGTTTTGTTTTTGTTTTTCGTGTTTTGTTTCTTCAGCAGCATGGCATGCGGGATCCTGGTTCCCTGAGCAGGGATTGAACCCGTGTCCCCTACAGTGGAAGCACAGCATCTTACCTCCTGGATGGCCAGGGAAGTCCCAAAATTTTCTCTAAGCTTATCTGAAATGTTTCTCCTACTTGCTTCCCAGATACCAGCCATCCTGTACCCTTTGTCATGTATGAGAAAGGAACACACATTGTTATGTGGGGTGAAGATGACGTAGAGGAGAGACTTTCAGACTCTGGATCCATGAAGATGTTGCAGGGACATGATTAGACAGTCAGTGACACTGCCACGTGAGGAGGGAATGAAAAGCAAACACAACATGCTCATACCCACCTCCTCCCCGTTTTACAAGACTCCCCGGGGAACCACACCCTTGGACCTACATTTAATATGAAGTAGGGTGCTCATGAATGCATGCACGTGTGGAGGAGGGGGTCCCAGTGAAACCACAAATAGGGAAATGAGCTCCCCTTCCAGGGCTCTTGGGATGGGATGGAATGAAACATGACCAGTGATCATTCATCTCTTCTAATTACGTCTCTAGATACCACGAACCAAGATTACACGACGGAGAACTTGATTCGAATGGGCGTGGCAGGGCTGCCCCTGGTGGTTCTCTTGGTCATTCTGGCTGAAAATTGGCTTGGCCATCAGGTTCCACACAAGGAAGACCAGCAAGAACTGCCTGAACTGAGCTGCAGTAGACAGAAAACTCAAACAGAATGGACCTTCGGACTAACTCCAAAGGGTCACCAGGTAGACACCAGGCACTGAACACAACAGCCAGCACTTGTGGAGTCCTGGAAAGCTACATGGAGAACACAAGGGAGAACGCGGTACTAACAAGCTTGGATCCCTTTGCAAACCAATCAAATGGTATTTTCTTATATGAATCTGATATATTTGCAGCCCACCCTGCTAGACTTTGGTGATAAAATTCTCAGTACAGGGCCTTCCCTGGTGGTGTAGTGGATAAGACTCCACGCTCCCAATGTAGGGGGCCCGGGTTCAATCCCTGGTCAGGGAACTAGATGTACCACATGCATCCCGCAACTAAGAGTTTGCATGCTACAACTAAGGAGCCCACGTGGTGCAACTAAGGACCCCACGTGGTGCAACTAAGGAGCCCGCCTGCCGCAACTAAGGACCCCACGTGGTGCAACTAAGGAGCCCGCCTGCCGCAACTAAGGACCCCACGTGGTGCAACTAAGGAGCCAGCAAGCTGCAAATAAGGAGCGCATTTGCCGCAACTAAGACCCAGTGCAACCAAATAAATATTTTTTAAAAATATCAATATAATCTTTGCTTAACTCTTCCTGTGATAAAAAAAATAATGCAAAGCATTCTCAATTCTCCTTGCTGACTGTTTTTCACCCCTCCTCCACACAAGTTCTGGCTCATACATTCATTTTGTCTTGAACTTATCAGCAAAACCAAATACCATTACATCCTCCTGATAGAAGACCTTAACACCTAGAATTCCATTAATTACATACAAAGGCTAATAATTAATTATGAATACTGTCCACTCAACGTACCATATATTCCACGCCATAACTGTGCTTCTAGCTTTCCCTACAGTAACATTTGTGTGTTAACACATGCTTTTCCGACTCTTAAGAAGACTCTCCTGTTCTTATGAAACTAACCCACTTCAAAATGTCTCATGCCTCCAACGCAAAGTAAACAGACTTGTGAAAGCAGCCAAACAAGCATCTCCTTTGGATCATCTCAGTACTTCAAGCTACTCAGTCTATCGATTCATCTTTTTGTAGTATGCATCATGACGTCTAGGAAACATGAAGTACTGGATCTATTTATTGAGATCATGAATAAATAAGTTAGTGACTGAGCCAGATAAACAAGGAAATGTTAGTGGCTGAGCCGAATAAACAACACGGAAGTGCCACAGTTGCAGAGGAGGACTAATGAGAGTCTTTATATCACATCCAAACCGACCAGAGAAATGCAAGGCAGTTTGTTTCCAAGAGAGGGAAAAGATTAGCTTCACATACGTGGTTTTGTCTATGGTAGGGCCTCGTTTGGAAAAGGGGTTCCGAGAATAAAAGGGCCCTGCACTCCTAGGAAAATGATTGATCTTTCTGTAGCCGCGATGACAAGCGGCCAACAGAATGGGTTTATAACCCATCGTCAATGACCACTCACGTTGGCCATTGAACCAATCAGACAGCTCCCTGCTTCTAAATGTCAGCCAATCAGAAACAGGTTCACTCCAGTAACCACACCGGTGAGAGACAGCCAATCCAAATAGACTCCGTCGAACAAACATGCTTTTACGGATAATGTTCAAACCAGAAGAGCCCCTGAAAATCCACATTTCCCAAAAACCCCGTATAGGATCAGCAGTAGGCTCTGCTCAGAGACACTGTGTCTGGCCAGCATAACTCTCCCTCACTACAGTAATAACAAATTCGGCTTTGCCTTCTTATTTCAGACATTGAGTAGCGAGTGCGTTAGCCTTCGGCAGTTTATGTATTAGACTGATTTAAGTTAAGGTCTTTGCTTAAGGGCAAGGTGTATGGCGGCTTATAATCCATGACTTTAAAAATTTAAATTTTTAAATTTTTTAAAAATTTTTATTGGAGTATAGTTGCTTTACAATGTTGTGCTAGTTTCTGCTGTACAGCAAAGGGAATCAGCTATACATATACATATATCCACTCTTTTTTAGATTATTTTCCGTATACATGACTTTCAGTTCTATGTTAGGCATTATGCTGGTCGTTTCATTTATATGAACATACTGTAACGCCGTGAATTTTAATTTAATCAATTTTAATTCAATCAATCATGTGACAGTCATGTCACACGAGCAAACAGAGGCTCAGGAATGGTATGATTTGGATAATGATATGAAGATGTGGACACAGAGTTTCAGTCTGGGAAGATGAAAAATTCTAGAGCTGGATAGTGGTGATGATTACATGATGATGTACATGTCCTAGTTGCCACTGAACTGTACACTTAAAAGTGGTAAAGGCGGGCTTCCCTCGTGGCGCAGTGGTTGAGAGTCTGCCTGCCGATGCAGGGGACACGGGTTCGTGCCCCGGTCCGGGAAGATCCCACATGCCACGGAGCGGCTGGGCCCGTGAGCCATGGCCGCTGAGCCTGCGCGTCCGGAGCCTGTGCTCTGCAACGGGAGAGGCCACAACAGTGAGAGGCCCAGGTACCGCAAAACAAAAAAAAATGGTAAAGGTGATAAATTTCATGTATGTGGAGCTTTTTACCATAATAAAAAAAAACTTTTAAAAATGGTTAAAATGGTAAATTTTGTGTTATGTATGTTTTGCCACAATTTTTAAAAAGTTCTTTGTGGTCTATAGAAACTGAAAGTAGATTAGTGGTTGCCCAAAGCTGGGAGAGTGAGGGGGTATTGGACAGTGAGTGCTAGTGGGTATTGGAGGGGTTTTTTTTTTTGGGGGGGGGGTGATTAAAAAGTTCTGAAATTAGATTATGGTGATGGTTGAGCAACTCTCAATATAATAAAAACCACTGAATTCTACACTTTAAATGGTAAATTGTATAGTATGTATATTATATCTCAATTAAGTTGAGTTTCTTCAACTATCAAAAATGATTAAATTATTAGTAACACCCTCAGTGGCTGAGTCATGACTTGAAATCCATCATCTCCAACAGGGCTTACAGTGTGCATACGGGGATAGTCCTAGGAGCACAGGTGTGAGCTTAAGGTGAAAACTGGGGCTGGACTAAATAGATACAGAGAAGTACCTGAGAAACCAGAGGCAAACGTAGGGAGAATGGATGGCATGACTGCCCTTAGTATGTGGTGTCCAGGGAAGACACTCCAGGTTCAGAGCATATTCCCCTAAGATGATCACCCAACCCCTCTAATGAGCTGGATAAAACATGGCATTTATTTACCTTATTTGTGTTTCAGTTCCTTATCTGGAAATGGTGGAGTAAATGCTGTCAACTTCATCGGGTTATCATGAGAATTCAATGAATGAATGATGCCAGCCACTCAGAACAGTGCCTACACATAGGAAATGTTTTTCAAGTCTGGTTACCAGAAACCTTGCCTCTCAAGATGATTTTATCTTCAGATCTTTGCACACTGCTGGAATAAACTGTTCCACTCTGAGTTGGTGAGCTCCATAGCGAAAAATAGAGGAGGAAAGTATCATTACTATTATGTGATGCGGGGGTAGCACTCGCCCCCATTTCCATACCAACTTCAAGAATTACTATGAGAGTGTGTCATTGACCAAAAAATAGACAAATAGATCAACAGAATGGAATAGATAGCTCAGAAATAGACCCATATAAATACAGTCAACTGATTTTTCACAAAGGAACAAGAGCAATACAGTGGAGCAAAGAGACTCTCTTCAACAAACGGGGCTGGAACACCCGGACATCCACACGCAAAAACATGAATCTAGACAGACCTTACACCCTTCACAAAAGCGAACTCAAAATGGATCACAGGCCTCAATGTAAAACGAAAACTACAAAACTCTTAGAAAAAAACATAGACAATCTTGGGTTTTGTGATGCCTTTTTAGATACAACACCAAAGACATGATCCATGAGAGGAAAAATCGATAAGCTGGGATTGATTAAAATTTAAAAATGCTACTCTGTGATAGACAGTATCAAGAGACATGAAAAGCCACAGACTGGAAGAAAACATCTGTGAAAAAATGAAATTCGACCCTTTTTTACACCACACATAAAAGTTAACTTAAAATGGATTAAAGACTTAAACATAGGGACTTCCCTGGTGGCGCAGTGGTTAAGAATCCGCCTGCCAATGCAGGGGACACAGCTCCAAGCCCTGGTTGGGGAAGATCCCACATGCCGCGGAGCAACTAAGCACGTGGGCCACAACTACTGAGCCTGCGTGCCACAACTACTGAAGCCCATGTGTCTAGAGCCCGTGCTCCTCAACAAGAGAAGCCACTGCAATGAGAAGCCCGCGCACCACAATGAAGAGCAGCCCCCGCTCGCCACAACTAGAGAAAGCCCTCATGCAGTAACGAAGACCCAACGCAGCCAAAATATATATATATAAATAAATTTACTTTTTTAAAAAAAGACTTAAACATAAAACCCCAAACACTAACACTCCCAGTAGAAAACATAAGAAAAAATGTACCGTAACATTGATCTTGTCAATAATTTTTTTGGATATGACACCAAAAGCACAGGCAACAAAAGCAAAAATACACAAGTGGGACTACATAAAACTAAGAAGATTCTGCACAGCAAAGGAAACCATCCACAGTGGGACACCACCAGCCCCAGGATCCCTGGGGTCCCACAAGAAGCCACCCTGGAACCTGGGCCTGCCCACCAGTGGGTAAGCAGCCACCATGAGAGGCAGGGCCTGACAGTCAGACAGGCGAGGGTCCACACCACCTACCAGTGCACCACAGATACAGGGAAGATGGCACACAGATGGCCAACAGGCGTGTGAAAAGATGCTCAACATCTCTAATTATCAGAGAGGTGCAAATCAAAACAACACTGAGATATCCCCTCACACCTGTCAGAATGGCCACCATCAAAAAGTCTACAAATAATAAATGCTGGAGAGGGTGGGGAGAAAAGGGAACCCTCCTACACTGTTGGTGGGAATGTAAATTGGTGTAGGCACTATGGAGAACAGTATGGAGGATCCTCAAAAAATTAAAAATAAAACTACCATATGATCCAGCAATTCCGCACCTGGGTATACATCCGGAACAAATGAAAGCACTGATTCAGAAACATACATGCATCCTAATGTCCATAGCAACACTGTTTACAATAGTCAGGACACAGAAGCAACCCCAGTGTCCATCAACAGACGACTGGATTAAGAAGATGTGATATAGGGGCTTCCCTGGTGGCGCAGTGGTTGAGAGTCCGCCTGCTGATGCAGGGGACACGGGTTCGTGCCCCGGTCTGGGAGGATGCCACATGCCGCAGAGCGGCTGGACCCGTGAGCCATGGCCGCTGAGCTTGCGCGTCTGGAGCTTGTGCTCCGCAACGGGAGGGGCCGCAGCAGTGAGAGGCCCGCATACGGCAAAAAAAAAAAAAAAAAGAAGATGTGATATATGTGATAGATACACACGCGCACACACACACGCACACACACGCACACACACAGTGGAATATTACTCAGCCATAAAATAGAATGAAATTCTACCATTGGCAGCAACATAGATGAACCTAGAGAATATTATGCTTAGTGAAGTAAGTCAGACAGAGAAAGACAAATACTATATGCTATCACTTATATGTAGACTCTAAAAAATAATACAAATGAATGTATATGCAAAACAGAAACAGACTCACAGACATAGAGAACAAACTAGTGGTTACCAAACGGAAGAGGGAAGGGGGTCCGGAAAAATATAGGGTATGGGATTAAGAGATACAAACTAATACGTATAAAATAGATAAGCAACAAGAATACACTATATAGCACAGGGAATTATAGCCATTATCTTGTAATAATTTACAATGGAGGATAATCTGCAAAAATAGTGAATCACTGTGCTGTCCACCTGGAACAAATCCAATACTGTTGATCAACTATACTTCAATTAAGTAATTAATTAATTTAAAATTATTTAGACCCTTAAAAAAAGAACAGTGGACACATTTTGCATTTAAAATATATTAAGTACTTAATATATTAATATTATACTACTTAATATTAATACTTAATATTCTAATATTTAAGTACTTAATATTTTAAAGTACCTAATATTTTAATATTTAATTTCTGCTTTATAACACAATATTTTAATATTAAGTACTTAATATTTTAAAATTTAATTTCTGCTTTATAAAAGACTAAAGGAATGTCATTATGTAACAAATAAAATATATTTTTGCTTAAAAATATTATTTATTGAAACATTGTAACAAATCTTTGAAGAAGGTAGTGTTATCATTCTATTCTGATGAAACCAGTTAACATCCAAGCATATGAATGTACACAGGGGAGCCAAAGTTAAAAACACCTTTTTTTTTTTTCTTTTTTTTGCGGTACACGGGCCTCTCACTGCTGTGGCCTCTCCCGTTGCGGAGCACAGGCTCTGGACGCGCAGGCTCAGCGGCCATGGCTCACGGGCCCAGCCGCTCCGCGGCATGTGGGATCTTCCCGGACCGGGGCACGAACCCGCGTCCCCTGCATCGGCGGCGGACTCCCAACCACTGCGCCACCAGGGAAGCCCAAACACCTATTTTTTTTTAATGATTCGAAGGCTTTTGCTCTGCACACTACCCTATGCCTTCCCTGGGCATAATGTCCATATTTCAAAATTTAGAAGTTGACCCCGAAATGAGTTTCAGTTCGAGCAGACAACTATCAGAGGTTCTGGTTAGAAACCACATATATGATCAGCTGTGTCATGGGGACCATTTCCTCTCCTTATACCCGATGGCCAGAGGTGGGGGGAGATCTTTGAATCTTCTCATAAAAAAGTCAGTGTGAAAGTCCCGTGGTGATTGGCGCTGGGCTTCACTCACCACATCCTGTGCCTCTCCCTGGCCTGCTGGACTCAAGTCTCCCCCCAGCTCTCCACATTAGCCAGGCACAATCTGAGCTATGCCTTCTGCACTTGCTGCCCTTCTCTTTCTTGGTGAGTTCTTGCACGGAAGAGAGATGGAATTCAGGGGTCTCGTGTGGATGGGGCGACGTATCTCATGATTCCTGTTTTCCAGGGCTGTCTCTGAGCCAGGGGACCAGCACCCAGAAGCGTGAGTCCTTCCTTCAAAGCCCCAGCGTCTGGTTTGAGACTAAGTACCCACGTGAGAACAACTGGAAGAGGGCAGGGGCTCTGGCTTGCTAGGAGGGCTTGAGACCAGCAGCTGGGTGGAAAGGAGGGTGAGCAGGGCCTTTATCTGGAACTCCAGCCTCTGATTCCTTTCCAGAGACTCTCTCGAAACCTGTCATCTGGGTCAAACCCAGTTTCATGATTCCAGAAGGAAAACTGGCCATCATCTGGTGTCAAGGAACTCACGAGGCCGCTGAGTACCAACTGCACTTTGAGGGAGGCCTTTCTGCCTTCAAGAGACCGAAGTCACCTGGAATGTCGAACAGAGTCAAGTTCCCCATCCCGTCCATGACCTCACAGACTGCAGGGCAGTACAGGTGCTTCTATCGAAGTGGGGAGCTCTGGTCAGAGCCCAGTGACCCTCTGGATCTGGTGGTAACAGGTAACTGTCCCACTGCATAGCTGTAGAGTCAACGCCTCAGCCTGACTCCCGGGCAGGGTCATCCCTTGTTCATCTCCTTTGCTCTCTTCCAAGCCTCACTCAGATACTAGTATTTGTCTCGAGGGTAATGTTGAGGGTTGATTATTTCCTACAGGGATTATCTTTAGAGAATTGTCTCTATGTCCCAGAAGCAGATCTGTCTTAGGTTCTTCAGAAAAGAGGCTCTGAGATGGATATTCGTGCACAGAGGGGATTACTGTGGAGTGTCCTCAAACATCGCACCTGTGATGAGTGAGGGGGACAGGCTGGGCAGAAGGGGAAGTTGGACTGTGATGCAGCTTCCCCTGAGACCTCGGCCGAGCAGATGTGGGACTCTGGACCTGGGTGGCCTTTCAGAATAGTATTGAAATGAGGCTGGAAGCTCCGTACCCCCCACTGTATCAAACAGTGATTGGCTGGGAACCACTCTTAGGGAGATTGCAGACAAATACCCTTGCTTTTGTGGTTCTTGTATTCTAGCAGAAGACAGACCATGAGTCAAAGTCAGGAAATTCAAATCAATTATATAGCATGTGAGGGCGAAACGGAGGTATGGAAAAAAGACAAAGTAAATGGGGTTAAGGTGACTGGCTGGCCAGGTAAGCTTGGGTCAGATAGTTCCCTTCAGTTGAGGGATATGGTTCTCAAACTTTAGTAGATATCAGAATCACCTGTAGGGCTTGCAGACGCACAGATGACTTCAGTGAGACCATGTTCATGGAAGCATTATTCATAATAGCCAAAAGGTGGAAACATCCTTTGCCTATCAGTGAATGAACGGATGGAGAAAATGTGGTCCATCCATACAACTGAGTATCATTCAGCCTTAAAAAGGAAGGAAATTCTAACACATGATACAACATGGACGAACTTGAGGGCGTTATATTGAGTGAAATAAGCCAGTCCTCAAAGGATCAATAAGTGTACATTTCCATTTACATGGGGTACTTAAAATACTCAGATTCAGAGGCAGAAATGAGAATGGTGGTTAGCAGGGGCTGGGGGAAGGGAGAGTGAAGAGTTAGTGTTTAATGGGTACAGACTTTCAGTTATGCAAGATGAAAAGCGTTCCGGAGACTAATGGTGATAATGGTTGTACAACGATGTGGATGTACTTAATACCACAGAACTGTACAATTAAAAATACTTAAGATGGGGCTTCCCTGGTGGCGCAGTGGTTGAGGGTCCGCCTGCCGATGCAGGGGACAAGGGCTCGTGCCCCGGTCCGGGAAGATCCCACATGCCGGGGAGCGGCTGGGCCCGTGAGCCATGGCCGCTGAGCCTGCGCGTCCGGAGCCTGTGCTCCGCAACGGGAGAGGCCACAGCAGTGAGAGGCCCACATACCACACACACAAAAAAAAATACTTAAGATGGTAGATTTATGTATATTTTATTACGACTAAAAGTGATAATGATGTTTTAAAACACAGATGGCTGCTCTCCTAAGTTTCTGAGGCAGTAGGTCTGGGGTAGAGCTTGGCAATTTGCATTTCTAACAAGGTTCCCGATGGTGCGGAGGTTGCTGGTCCCAAGGACCAAACGCTGAGGACCAATGATGTAGGGTGATTCCCAGACAGTCATCTTTTTAAAATTAATTTCTATTGAGGTATAGTTGCTTTACAATGTTGTGTTAGTTTCTGCTGTACAGCAAAGTGAATCAGCTATACGTATACATATATCCCCTTTTCTGGATTTCCTCCCCATTTAGGCCACCGCAGAGCATCGACTAGAGTCCCCTGTGCTCTACAGTGTAGGTTCTCATTAGTTATCTATTTTATACATAGTATCAATAGTGTATAGATGTCGATCCCAATCTCCCAATTCCTCCCAGCCACCCTTGGTATCCATACATTTGTTCTCTACAGCTGTGCCTCTATTTCTGCTTTGCAAGTAAGTTCATCTGTATCATTAGAAAGAGATTCATCTTAACACTCCTGGAAGCTAGGGGAGCAACTGTCTCAGTCGTGAAGGGAGAGATCAGAGAGGGTATGTCCATGACCGAGACAAACCTAGGAAACAGAAGAAGAGACCAAGATTCTGGGGAGCGATATCCTGGTCCTAAGGAGAAGAGGGATGGGGGATATAGGAAGCAGGATAAAGATGCTCTTTACCGGGACTTCCCTGGTGGTCCAGTGGTTAAGACTCCGCCACTTCCAATGCAGTGGGCGTGGGTTCAATCCCTGGTCGGGGAACTAAGATCCCACATGCCGCCTGGTCAAAAAAAAAAGTTATGTTCTTTACCTACCAGCCACCTTCTCTCGCAGGACTGTATGACACACCCACCCTCTCCGTTCAACCCAGACCTGAGGTGATCTCAGGAGAGGAAGTGACCTTCCGTTGCCGCCTAGAAACAGCAACAAGCACCTTCTTTCTGCTCAAGGAGGGAAGATCCAGCCGCCCACAGCGCAGATACGGGAACATCCAGGCGGAGTTCCCCATGGGCCCTGTGAGCACAGCTCACAGAGGCACGTACAGATGTTTTGGCTCCTATAACACACATGCATGGTCTTTCCCCAGTGAGCCTGTGAAGCTCCTGGTCAAAGGTGAGGACGCCCCCCAGTTTTACCCCGTGTCCTTTCTGGATCCCTAACTGACCCCCCAAATAATGATGAGAGAGGCAGCAAAGAGGCAGGCGGGAAGACGCACAGGGGGTACTTTTCACCAATGCCCTCATCCACGTTGATCTCCCAGAGGCCCATTTGATAGCTCATGAGGAATATCACCAGAGGGGGGGCGGAGTGTAGAGAATAAGTGGAAAGACCAGATCCCTTGATTTTTCTCCTTGTCTCCATTGCCAGGAGATGCCGGGGACACCACCTTTGCGCCCACAGAGCACACCTCTTCTGGTGAGTAACACGGACTTCTAAACTTGGGGAAGGACTCAAAGCCTCCCAGTGACACTAAAACCCTGGCATTCGTTCCCGATATCCCTTGAGCGTAGAGCGCATGCCATGAACTACAGTTCTATCGGTCAACCAGAGACCTAGCTTGTGTGGCACTCGTACTCCAGCGGGAGAAGGCAGACCATGAATCTAAGTCAGGATACATCAATCGATGACACAGCACACAAGGAGGAAATGACGAGGTGGAAAAGGACAATGTAGAACGAATGGCATTACGGTGATGGGGAGGAGGGCAGGTGGCAGCGTTGAACAGAGTTGCCCACGCTGGCCTCACAGAGAAGGAGGCTTCAAGCAAAGAGCTGAGGGACTTCCCTGGCGGTCCAGGGGTTAAGACTTCGCCTTCCAATGCAGGGATGTGGGTTCGATCCCTGGCCGGGGAGCTAAGATCCCACCTGCCTCGAGGCCAAAAAACCAAAACATAAAACAGAAGCAATACTGTAACAAATTCAATAATGACAAAGGAAGGAAGGAAGGAAGGGAGGGAGGGAGGGAGGGAGGGAGGAAGGAGAAAGAAAGAAAGAAAGGGAAGGAAGGAAGGAAGAAAGAAAGAAAAGAGCTGAAAGAGTTGAGGGCATGAGTCCTTAGGCCTATGCGCTAAGGCAGAAAGATGGGCAGGGTGATAAAAGAACAGCCAGGAGCCCAGTGGACTGGAAATGATGTCAGAGGGGGGATGGCAGGGGTGTGGTGGGCTGAGGCAGCTCACTGAGGACCTTGAAGAAGTTTGGTTAAGACTGAATGACGTACAGTGGAGGATTCCTGGACTGAATGTCAATATTATGACATAGTGTGAGTGTTTCGTGTTTGGTAATTGCAATCATTGTTGCTTTTGTGGTGGTCATCCATTTCCAATGCCTGGTGTCAGTTTATTTATCTCTTGTAAAAATAAAATACAGTGTGTGTGTGAAAAAAAAAAAAGAATGCCATATATATAGAATCATAAAAAAAAAAAAAAAAAAGACTGAATGACGTGACCAGTGGGACAAAGAAGAAAGGATGGCGGTTGACTTAATGAGGAAACGGAGGCTCACACAGAAGATACGCCTGGAGATACACGCTTATGAGTCCTAGAGCTGAATTCTTCCTCTGGTCTGTCTTTTGTTTTCTTTTGTTTTGTTTTTAATTAATTTTTATCGGACCATAGTTGCCTTACAATGTTGCGTTAGCGTCTACTGCACAGCAAAATGAATCAGCCATACGTATACATATATCCCCTCCACTGAGGACACGACAGTGCGTTAAGTAGAGCTCCCTGTGCTATACAGTATGTCTTTGCCCTCTTCCACTCCACCTGCCAGATGAAGCCACTGGGACCTGGAGTGCGAGGGGTGGGCCTAGAGAAGCTATAGAACATCACGGAGTATAACCAAGGGTAGGAGAGCCTGCGATGGAAGAGGCCACATCATCTCTTTTCCTCACGTCTCCTCTTTCCTCATCCTCTGCAGACCACTGGGACGCCTACATGTTAACCACAGAGACCCAATTCCAGGAAGGTAAGCCAGCAGTGGGGGCTGGAGGCGCTAAAGGACATAAGATCGGGAAAGGAAAGAGGAAGAGAGATGGGGTGAAGCGGTCTTGGTAGGTTCCTGTGAGCCATCACTCTTGTTCTTCTGACCCCAGATCCTGTCCTCTGGGATCACAATGCCCAGAATCTCCTTCGGATTGGCCTAGTTTTCCTGGTCCTGGTGGCCCTCGTGTGGCTCCCAGTTGAAGACTGGCTTCACAGGAAGAAGCTTCAAGAGAGAGCCAGCAGGGCTTCAAGTCAGGAATGCAGAAGGTTCAGAGCACAAAGCCCTGGAGAAATGACTGAGAGATGCAGTGGCCACAGGTAAAGCTGCAAGCTGACCCTGACCTTGGGCTGTGGGAGCTCCGAGTTGAGCCCATGGAGGAGAGAGTCATCGCAGAAAACGAAGGGAGAACTGCACGGAGTTTGGCAGAGGGTTGGGGATGAAAGCGCTACATTTCTTCTGTAGGCAAAACCCATTGTCTCTTCTAGGTTCTAAGTACTGTTGCACTTGCTTCCTGCGAACCAAACTTTTAACCACTCTGGTCTTTCCTGAAAACATCTTTAACGGCATGGCCGTGGGAGTATCTCCTCCCTACTTTTGTCCTTATCCCTATTTCTTCTTTGCTGTCTCTTGCACATGTCATTCAAAATATTTAACCACCAGTACAGAATAGGTGCACTTATCAGACAGAACCAGAGCCGGAGAGGCAACAACCAGTCAATGGAGATGCAGGCTTATAAACAAACAGCACATCTATACCAAGGTGTCCTGGCTGGATGGCAGCCATGCCCCAGTTCCCTCTATCCTATGCCCTTGCAGGATTTCTTCTTCTCCACTTCTTTATCCACACCTTGCCTTGTTCTTTGGGTCTCCTAGTAGATATCATCTCCTCCAAGATGATTTCCCAAATCCTCCAGCTTGACTTAAGATACTACTTCCATAGTCCCAAAGCACCTGTAATTCTCTACAACAGCATTTGAACCCTAATACTGCCTACGTATCCATTTTCCTGTATCGACTGTGAACTCATGTGAATTAAATTTATGTCAGGTGTAATGGCTGTGTTCGTAGTTCCCACTACTCAGAGTTCTTGGGAAATGTATGTTGAACAAATGGATGTATAAATGGGGTCAGAGTGCCACTTGAACTTGAGACTCCTATGCGTGGTCCTTGAAATGTTGTCTGGGCATCACAAACGCTCTCCTTTTTGAGAGTTTCGACTTGGTCAACCCACTAATATACCCATTATGTGGTATATATTGTGACACCTTACACAGGTCAAATTCGTTCTTAAAGCTGCATTTTCTGTTAAATATCAGCGAATATTAATTCCAACCTCAAAGGGATAACGTGAAGATCTGGAGATCAAGAATATCCAGAAACCAGCATAAGCTCTGACATGTGTACGTTACTCAATGCACGATGACCATTATTATTCCTGATACTAAGGGCAATTAAAACTCATACCAAGTATTACCTCATTACTAGTGGCCCCAATACTGAATTTTCTCCTTTCTGGTCTTCACCTACCAGGTGTTATAAGGTCCAAGACTTTCTAGCTAATCCCCATTTATAGTCTTCATCTCAAGATGAGATGGACTTGCTTGGGGTGGGTTCAGGACATTCCAACCTTTCCATATTCTAGTTTATGGCAAGAAACCTAGAGTCTCAAGGAAAAAATGGGTCAGGGAGAAATATGTTAGGGGTCAAGATATAAAGGCAGGGCTTGACCTGGGCAAAGGAGGCTCCTAGAGGGGACGGAGGGGTCTTTACCACCATGGCCCTATGCTGTCCTTGGCAGTCCAGGTTAAAATCTTCCAAAACTGGTCAATGCCAGATGGTCAAGTATTGCAACACTCTTTCTGAAATATTGAACAGGGCTTGTATTTCAGACCGCAAAATGAAGCATGGGGAGAAAGAAAGGAAGGAGAGAGGAAGGGAGGGGAGGAGGGTGGGGGTAAAGTACTGGCCAACTGTTTGTGATGATGATTTACTGGAAACACTCCAAAAACACTTTCATTTATTTCCCCACGGTCAGAACTTAACAGCTTTCCACACCTAGATGCAAGGGAGGTTGACGATGTAGCCTTTTTTCCAAATAGCTCTGTGGCAAGCTGAATATTGGTACTTCCATTACCAATGCAGTGAAAGGTAATAGAGTTGTAATAAGCAATTCCAGTCCTTGTCATAAGAGCCTACTACGTGTCAGGCACTGGTGACAGTACAACACACCAAGGCAAACATTATCCCCACCATGACAGGATTTATCGTCCAGGAGTAGAGATCTTCAAGAAGTGAGAAAATCAGTGTCTCGTGAGAGAGGAACTAGAGGATCCCTTGGAGCCCCTTCCTGTGAAAGATTCCATTATATAGAGACATTGAGGGAGATGCAGGGGTGAAGAAAGGGGAAGACGGCAGCTGTCTCTACCAATGTATCCAAAGGCTCAGATGTAAGACAGAGGGTGCAAACGTTCAGTATAACTAGAGCTCTGACTGTGACAGAAAAGAGTAGCTGTGGACGATGCTGGGCATGGCCATGGAAGCCACATAAATAAATGCACATTTTATCCTTAAGGCAAAGGGAGCTCACCAAGCATTCTGATCATGGATGTAATATGATGATTTCTACACTGTGTGAAGACCCTTCTGGTTGCAGTGAGAGGAAGGACATACGCAAAGAAAACAAAAGCATGGTAGGTGGGGGGAGACAGAAGAGTTGAGAATGGCTCACCTATTTCTAGTGCTGACAACCAGAACGATATAGGTTCCGTAACTAATACTGGTAACCCAGATGGAGGTCCAGCTGTGAGTGACAGGTACACGTAGGTCTTGAGACCTGGTAACATATTCTCTAGCTCTGTCCTTATTTTTCAAGATTGCCTTGATTATTCTGCGTGTTTTGGATTTCAATACTAACTTTAGGGTATTAGTGTTCACAAAACACCCACCTGGATTTCACATGAGATTGTATCCAAGCTACGGATCAATTTACAGAGAATCATCACCTCTTCAATCTTTCCATCCTTCGAAGTTTCAAAACTTAAATGTGGTATATTTCACCATTTAACTTCATGTTCAGTAACGTCTCTAAATAATATCTTACAGTATTCCACGTAGAGAATGTGCATATCTTTTGTTAGATACCCACCAGAAATATCCACTAGCTACATCTCCTCCAGAGAGATCCCTACTTACATGACTTTTATTTTGTAAGTAGTATCATTCTTTAAATAATTTTATTGCTTCTGTTGGTTGCTGGTAGTATAAAAATAAAATTGATTTTTTATATGGAATGTGTCTTGCAAAGCTCACTTCTTAATCTTAACCGTTTTAGACTATTTAAGATTATTTTTAGGTTCAAACATTTTTAGGATTTTTTTTCCAAAATTAATTTCTTTTTTTTTTTTTTACTGTCTTATTACCTGGCTAGAACCTCCAGTACATTAATCAATAGAAGTGGTGATAGCAGGTGCCCTTTTCTTAGTACCAATATTATGGGGAATATTTTTAATATCTTACCATTGAGTAAGCTAATTGCTATAATTTTTTGTAGATACTCATTGTCCCAGTTAGAAAATTCCTTTGTATTCTTCTTTTGCTAAGTTTGTTTCCATTCAAAAATAAGAAGGAACATATCCAGTGAAATCAGTTAGGAGGCTGCTACATTATTCCAGGTGAAAGTCGATAACCACTCTGAGAAAGTAGACACCTTTGACATATTCCAGGCACAGAAGCCATACTTCATTTTATTGTTTAGAAATGATGGGTGGGCAGGTGGCAGGGTCAACAAGAAGTCTGAGTTTTTTGTGGTTACCAGAAGGTAAGGGGGAGAGGGATGAATTGGGAGACTGGGATTGACACACACACACTACTGTACATAAAATAGATAACTAATAAGGACCTACTGTAGAGCACAGGGAAATCTACTCAATACTCTGTAATGACCTATACGGGAAAAGAATCTAAAAAGAGTGGATAAATGTATAACAGATTCACTTTGCTGTACACCTGAAACGAACACAACATTGTAAATCAACTGTACTCCAATTAAAAAAAAAAACTCTGAAGTTTGTAAATTGGGCACCTGGGTGGACAAAGGGGACCTTTTTTGCCCTCATGCCCACCCACTGGCGTTGATACTGTAGATGAACCATGATAGGTGTGATAAGAAAAGGATACATTTGGGGCAACATCAAGAGACATCAGAGAGCCTCTGTTGTCCCAAACTGAAAAGTGTTTTCCTTTTCATTGAAATATAATCGACACAGAATATTGTGTAGGTTTAAGGTATACAATGTGTTGCTTTGATACATTTACCTATTGTAAAAGGATTGCCGTTGTAGCATTAGCCAACACCTCCATCACATCACATAGCTGCCACTTCCTTTTTGTGGTTGGAATAATTAAGACCTGCTCTCTTACCAAGTTTGATGATGATCATACGATACTGTTGTCTGTCATCACTATACCGGGCACTAGGTCTCCAGGACTTATTTGTCTACTAGTTGCAAGTTTGTACCCTTAAACATCAGCTCCCCATTTCCTCCACCCCCCAGCCTTTACGCACCACCATTCTGCTCTCTGTTTCTACGAGTATGGATTTTTAGGTTCCACATTTAAGTGATATCATACAGTATTTGTCTTTCTCTGACTTATTCCACTTAGCATAATGCCCTCAAGGTCCATCCTTTTTGTCATAAATGGCAAAATTTCCTTCCTTCTTTCTCATGGCTGAAATATATATATATATATAATTTTTTTTTTTAAGCAGGCACACTCATCACTCCATCACAGCACTGATCTAACCTATCTCTCCTTCTCAAGGTGCCCTCACATTTGGTGATCTGTTTCTGCGGGTTGATGCTACCGTTGCCTGGTCTCATGGGTATTAGGAAAGGTGAGGTTTGAAGGCTGAGATGGCATCTCCTTTCCCTACCCCAGCCCTGCCTCTCTTCCTTCTGTGTTTACCCCCAAGTTCTTTCATCTTCCCCATTACAACACCAAGACTGGATCTCCAGTCTGCCTTCCCTACCTGCTTCCATCATCCCGTTTCATACAACAGGTGCACGGAAGAATCAGGAGGTGGGGGAAAGGACCAAATTCGACCTCCATTAACACCTGTGTTCCTGAGGCAAGATACGTCCTTTCTATTTTCACATTTGCCGAAAGGAGGGAACAATAGCTCCTTCTTAGTAATACATGAGTTCATGACGTCATGCTACGGGTTTATTTTTTTAAGATTTTTTTTTTGATGTGGACCCTTTTTAAAGTGTTTATTGAATTTGTTACACTATTGCTTATGTTTTATGGTTTGGTTTTTCGGCTATGAGGCATGTGGGATCTTAGCTCCCAGACCAGGGATCGAACCCGCACCCCCTGCATTGGAAGGCGAAGTCTTAACCTCTGGACCGTCAGGGAAGTCCCCCGTCCTAGGGACTTCTCAGTGCTCCACAGTTGTTACACCATCACCACTGGCACCAAAGTTTCCTAACTTTGAGTTAGGAAAAGGAACTAAAGCTTCAGAACATGGATACGATTACTCGGAGAATGTCCATCCCCTTCTACTATTCCTGGTCCATGGACGGGGCGACCAGTTGCCCTGAGATATTCCCCACATGGGCGGTCTTTGCTTTGCCTCTTCACACTTGTTCCTCAACCACTAGAAACTGGTTTCTCACCCCACACTTCCTCAGAAGCTGCTTTTGTCACAAACACTAATGTGTTTCCTGGAACTCTCAGTGGACGCTCCTCAACCCTTATTTTGTTCTTCTGGTACTTGTGTACGACCACTTCCTCCTTGAAATAGTCACTTCGATGGCTTTTTCTGACACCTGTCCCTACTCACTTCTGACAGTCCCTCCACCACCGAGTTTTCGGGCTCTCCAACGCCAGAGCTTTAAGGTTCTATGGTGGACCCACGTTTCTCTGAACGCAAGCCTGGTTGACTTCATTTAATGCCATGGTTTCAATTTCTCTATGATAGATGCCCGAACCTGTTTCTTTTTTTTAATATTTTTAAAAATTTTATTTATTTTATTTATTTGTCTTTGGCTGTGTTGGGTCTTCGTTGCTCCGCGCGGGCTTTCTCTAGTTGCGGTGAGCGGGGGCTACTCTTTGTTGCGATGCACAGGCTACTCATCATGGTGGCTTCTCTTGTTGCAGAGCACGGGCTCTAGGCGCCCAGGCTTCAAGAGCTGTGGCTCGTGGGCTCTAGAGCGCAGGCTTAGTAGTTGTGGCGCACAGGCTTAGTTGCTCCATGGCATGTGGGATCTTCCCAGACCAGGGCTCGAACCCGTGTCCCCTACATTGGCTGGCGGGATCTCAACCACTGCACCACCAGGGAAGCCCTGTTTCTCTTCTAAATAGAGTCACATTGGTGGGTTAGGGCTTCAACATGTGCATTTGGACACAATCCAGTGCATAGCAGGGACTGTCCTAAGCACTGCTTGGTGTCAGGAGCATTCCTGGCCTCTGCCCACTAGACGCCAGGACCACCCACCCACCCACCCAATGTGTGACAACCAAGTCTCTCTGGACAGTGCCAAATGTCTCCTTGAGGACAACATTAAGAGCCACCCAGATAAGAACCCCTGGCTTGTAAGGACATAAATAGGGTGATGGAAAAAGGTGGGTGTGATGGGGGACGGACATCCATGAGATCTGGTGGTCAGCTGGGTGAGGACGTGTTGACTGTGCTGAGAAGGGCGGTCACATCAAATACTGAAATGCCACAAGAACGCTCACCCAGCAGACAGAAAGAACAGCAGGTGGAGAGCCCAAGGCAGGGAAGTAGCAAGACACCCACCAGCACGACTGCAACAGAGCGA